CTTTGTATGCTTTGAATATATTATTCCACTGCTTCTGGCCTCCATTTTTTTCTGATAAGAGGACAGCTAGTAATCTTCTTGTAAGTGAAGAGTCCTTTTTCTCTTGTTCCTTTTAATATTTTCTCATTGTCTTTGACTTTCAGCATGTTTCTATTTATGAATTTTTTCATGTTTATCCTAATTGGAAGCCACTGAGCCTCCTGAAAATGCAGATAAATGTTTTTCAGTAAATTTGGGAAGTTTTCAGCCATTATTTTTTTCAAGTATGTTTTCTGTTCCTTTATCTCTCTCTTGTCCTTCTAGTACTCCCATTATGCATATGTTAGTGTTTTTAATGGTGTCCCACATTTCTTTGAGGCCTTTTCATTTTTCTTCATCCTTTTTTCTTTGTTTTATTCAGCCTTCATACTCTCTGTTGATCTCTTCAGGTTTATTAATTCTTTCTTCTGCATCATGAATCTGTTGAACCCCTCTAGTAAATTTTTCATTTCAGTTATTGTACTTTTCAAGTCCATAACTTATGTTTGGTTCTTTTTTATAACTTCTGTCTCTTTATTGATATTCTCTATTTGATATGCTGTTGTCATCATACCTTCCTGTACTTTTTAGATTATGGTTTCTTTCATTCTGTTAACATTTTTATAGTGACTGATTAGAAGTCTTTGTTAAATCCAACATTTAGTCATTCTCACAGATGTTTTCTGTTGCTTTATTTGTTTTGGTGTATGTGTCATACTCTACTGTTTTTCCATATGTGTCAGTTTTTGGTTGGACTGGACGTTATAGATAGTTTGAAAGATGTAGCAACTCTGTGTACTGGCTCCCACCTTCTCTTACTTAGGCTTGTTATTGTTATTTGCTTCCTTATTTAGCTACTGGCTAGAATGTTTTAGTGGAGGTTATTTTTCCTTACTGTAGTGTTAAACTTTTGATACTATACCACATGGACTGAGACCTTGGCAGGTCTCTCTTTGACTCTCTCTTTCCCTGTGCATACCTAGCTGTTAAGTTCCAGTTATTGCTGATTAATTATTATATTGTTTTCAGTGATGACGTAGAGCATAAATTGCTGTATAGACTAATCTAGTCAATTGTATGCTCCTTTGAAGGGATAGTTTATGAAGTCAGTGTTTGAGTTTTATTCTGACTCTAGGAATGCTCTTCCTTACTATTTATTTTCCCAGTTCTCTTCTAAAAACTAGCCAGCCTGCAATTCAGCCTGTATCCCCAGTGACTCTACCAATTTACTTTCAACTGCTTTTTACCACTACCTATACTGCCTTTAAAGTGCCCTTGAGCTTGAACTTCTCCATGTTCTGTTGTAAATGAAGTCATTTCCTTTGGAGGAGATTAGGAACCATCTGTTTTAGGCTTGCTTCTTTTCCCAGACAAAAATCTCTGTGCCATAGGTCTGGATCTGGGGTGGGAACATAACTTTTTTCTGAATGACACCCTGGCTTTAGGAACTGAGGATTTAGCCAAAGTGGGCACATTAGCCTCATGCCTTTACAGCTTGTCTCTCCTGACATTAAGCCACTACCTTATAAGCCAGGCAGGGGTGATCAGGGTCCTACTAATCTCAGTGCCACCATGCCAAAGGTGGAGCCTCCGCCCCACTAGTATAGGCTAAGTGGAAGGGATTCCTCACCTCTTGGCTGCATTCACTCACAACTTAGCCTTAGCAAGAGATAGCTGAGGGCAAGATGAGAATGCTGATATCCTTGCCCTAACAAGAAGGTAGCCCTGTGGTTGGAGGCTATTGGGAGAGGGAGCCCTGTGTTCTTGGCTGCACAGTTTGGAGTAGAATCTGCATCTCATTGAGCTGGGGAGAGGAAGAAGGCAATCTTGGCTCACTTGCACAGACTCACCTTTTTTCCCCCATGTAATTGTCATAGATTTTACTGAATAGAGGGCTCTTTATTTGCTGCCTGCATTTATGACCATTTCCAGATTTTAAATAATTTTTTTTTAAGATTTTTTACTTATTTGACAGACAGAGATCACAAGTAGGCAGAGAGGCAGGCAGAGAGAGAGAGAGGAGGAAGCAGGCTCCCCGCAGAGCAGAGAGCCCAATGTGGGGCTTGATCCCAGGACCCTGGGATCATGACCTGAGCCGAAGGCAGAGGCTTTAACCCACTGAGCCACCCAGGCGCCCCATAAACAATTTTTAAAAATATTTTTCACCTGGGACTGGATCCTCACATTGTCATTCCAGAAGTTGATTCTAGAATATTTATATTCAGGGGTCCCTGGGTGGCTTATTCAGTTAAGCATCTGACTTTAGCTCAGATCATGATCTCAGGGTCCTGGGGTCAAGTCCCGAATCAGGCTCCCTGCTCAACAGGGAGGACTGCTTCTCTTTCTGCCCCTCCCCCCAACTCATGTGCTCTCATGCTCTCTCTCAAATAAATTTCTTTTTTTTTTAAAGATTTTATTTATTTGACAGAGATCACAAGTAGGCAGAGAGGCAGGCAGAGAGAGAGTGAGGAGGAAGCAGGCTCCCCGCCAAGCAGAGAGCCCGATGTGGGGCTCAATCCCAGGACCCCTGGATCATGACCCGAGCTGAAGGCAGAGGCTTTAACCCACTGAGCCACCCAGGTGCCCCTCAAATAAATTTCTTTTTAAAAAGAATATTACATTCAGTGAGACTTTTGATATAGTTATGTTTAAATCTGTCACATGGCATCTGTTTTCTTTTTCTCTCATCTCTTCTTTGTTCCCTTTTTCATTTTTTATGCTTTAGCTCCTTTGTTGGTTTATTAGCTACAATTCTTTTTACTTCCGTTTTGGCTTTAGAGTTTATAGTACGTATTTTTAACTTCTCCCAGTCTACCTGTAAGTATTATTGTACCACATCGTGTATACTGTAAGAACCTCAAACTAGAATGCTTCCATTTCTCTACTCCTGACCTTTGTGTTATCATATATTTTACCTTTATCTAATGTTATAAATTCCACACTTGATTATTATTTTTGTTTAAGCAGTCAACTATCTTTTAAGTAGATTTAAATAATAAGAAAATATTTTTCTCATGTAGTTACTATTTCTGCTTTTGTTTCCTTTACGTAGATCCTGATTGCCAATTGCTGTCATTTTTCTTCTGCCTGGAGGACTGTCTTTAACTTTTCATGTATTGAAGGTCTTCTGTTGATAATGACTCCTTTGACTTTTGGATGTCTGAAAAAAAGTTTATTTCACCTTCACTTTTGAAAGATATTCTTGCTAGATAATATACTTCTATGTTGTTGTTGTTTTTTTTAAGATTTTGTTTATTTATTTGACAGAGAGAGATCACAAGTAGGCAGAGGTAGGCAGAGAGGGGGAAGCAGCCTCCCTGCTGAGCAGAGAGCCCGATGCAGGGCTCGATCCCAGGACTCTGAGATCATGACCCGAGCTGAAGGCAGAGGCTTAACCCACTGAGCCACCCAGATGCCCCAGTAGACTTCTATGTTGAAAGAGTTTTTTCCTTTGAGTAATTTAAAGATGTTGCTCTACTGTTTACTTGCTTGCACTGTTTAAATATACTGTTGTTCTTAACCTCGTTCCTCTGTAAGTAATGAATCTTTTTTTTTTCTCCTTCTGGCCGCTTTAAAGATTTTATCTGGTTTTAAGCAATTTTGATTATGAGGAGCATTAGCTGATTTTTTTTTCATGTTTCTTATGCTTAGGGGTTATTAAATTTCTTGAATCTCTGGGTTCCACGTTTGAATCTCAGATGTGGAAAAATTTAAGCCATTATTTCTTCAAATGTTTTTTCTTCCCTTCTTTCCTTTTTGAACCTCTTATTTCACATGTATTGGATTGCTTGAAATCATTTCACAATTCACTGATGATCTGTTCATTTTTTAAAATTCTCTTTTCTCTGTGTTTCATTTTTATGCAGTAGTTACTGCTTTGTCTTTGAATTTACTAATCTTTTTGATTGAAATGTCTAATCTCTAACTAATCCTATCCAGTATATTCTTCATCTCATACATTGTAATTTTCATCTCTAGAATTTTGATTTTGGTCTTTCTAAAAATATTTTCCATGTCTCCACATAACTTTTGAACATGTGGAATATGATTGTAATAACTACTTTATGTCTTTATCTGCTAATGCTAACATTCTTACCAGTTCTCAGTCATTTTCAGTTCATTGCTCTATCTCTTCTGTCTGGGCTGTATTTTCCTACTTCTTTCCAGGCCTATTAACTTTTTATTGAATCCCACACATTGTGAAATCTATCTGGTTGGATGCTGGATATCTTTGTATTCTTATAAATATTCTGTAGATTTGTTCTAAGATACAGTTAAGTTCCTTGGAAATAATTTGATCCTTGTGGGTCTTGCTTTTAAGATTTGGTAAGCAGGATTGGAGCATGTGTTCAATCTAGGGCTAATTATTTCCCACTCCCGAGGTAAGGCTATTCTGTACCCAAACAATGCCCCACGAGTTTTGAAGTTTTCTAGTCTTGCTCTTGGGAACAGGTACTATTTCTGACCTTCGAGAATGCCAGGTGTCATTACTTCTACTCTTTTCTGGTGGTTCTTTTCCCAGCCCTGGGTAATTTGCCCTCAAATATGGCCAACCACTACTCAGGTGAATACTTAAAGAGGACCCCCTGAAGATCTGCAAAGTTCTCTTTGTATTTCTTTCTTCTTTAGTATTCTGTCCTGGAAACTCTAGGCACTTTGCCTCCGTGGATTCTGCTCTTTCTCCTCAACTCAGGGAGTCCATGGGCTTTGCCTGGATTCCCTCTCCCTGCACCATGACCTGGAAACTCTCAAGGCAGTGAGCTGGGACACTTGGAAGGCTCACCTCATTAATTTCTCACTTCTCAGGCATCACTGTACTTTGTTGGCTGATGTTTGGCTGTAAACCATTGCTCCATATATGTTGTATGTTTTTTGTTGGTTAGGGTAAGTCTGGTTCCTATTACTTCATCATGACCAAAAGCAGAAGTTCACATATTTCAGGTATTTTTCCTTCTTAATTTTTGTTTTATTTTTAATTTCAGGAGACTACCCACAAAGCCAGTGTTTTAGTGAGTGGTAAAATTAAGGTAGAAAATGGTCAGATTTATCAAAATCCAGTCACCTGGCTCAAGGATCTTCTAGGAGGCGACAGTTATGTGACTTGGAATTATGCTTGGAGTAAGGTGGGTAATTCTTAAGTTTATCTGTAACTTCATGTTCAAATGGAAAGGTACCTATTTTTTTATGATAAAACTACTTTTTAAGAAATCTGAAGTTCTCCAAGCTAGCTTTTGTCCTCGTGTTCCTTCTACAATATGCTATGTGCTTTCTCCCACAACTCTTGTTTGCCACAAATCCCCAGGGACAGAGTTGGACAGCTGACAGCCTCTCCTTCTTTGGTCCTCATCTAGTCTCAGAAATTCGAATGCCCTCAATCTTCCCCTGTTATCCTCCCAAGTGATTTCAGGTCTTTGTGACTCCACATAGAAAATTTGAGACCTCTGGTGTGTTGACCATTTAGTTATATGTTAGTATTCTGATGCAATGAAGGATAACTTCCCCTAAAGACAAAGGAATGAGCAAGCAGCCTAAAACCCACGAAAGTTATGGTGTACTTTTGTTTGAACACAGTTTTATCCATCAGTTTCCACCCCCTTCCAAAAGAAATATTTTTCATTCCAACTTCCTGGACTTAGTAGTCTTCCCCACAATTCTGTCTTCTGAGTTATAAACCCAGTTTAACCACCAATTTCAAGACTATTAATGACTGACACCCTTGAAGTCCAATGATCAGCCATCTCCAGATGTCCATGGCCACACTTAAGGGAACAGTCTTGCAATGATTCACTGAGGAAAGTGTGAATCCTCAGACATCCACCATTACTGTTAAACAGAACTACAAATCCCTTCAGCCTCCACTGTCCATTACAGTAAGCCTCAGTGCCTGAGTAATAAAAGGCAGTTTCTTCTCTCTTTTTGTCTCACTTAGCTCTGCTCACCATTCCTCGTAGCTCCTCCTCTCTTCCCTTCTCCATAATCTGTTTTCTGGTATCCTAGACCTTTGTTGCAGGTGCTTCCAAAACTGTTTTAGTTCCTTCACTTAGATCAGTACATCTTAGATTGCCTCTACTTTATAGTCATTGGGTTTTTTTTTTTTTCTTAAAGGTTTTTTCCTTGTTCATTTTCCACGCCTAGAGTCACCAGACCATCTGCTTTTCACCTGCTCAGTACTTTCCACAATTCATAAATCATATGTAGGAATTAACATATCTAGGAATTAACATTTTACCCTTGGAAATCCCTTTTTATTAAAAAGTTTCTTAAACTTGTGATAGATTATATCATTTTGCTATAATAGTCTACAGCATGAATATGGTACTGGTTTCTGTAGTTAAGTTTTTTTGAGCTTATCATGTCTCTGCTTAGTGTGCCCAGTGATGACTCACTTCTCCCACTCTTTTTCTTTATTGGAACTACTGCATTTTCTGCTTTTGAATAGCTGACTGTGACATCATTTGGCCCTCACTCTGTACTTAAGCCTCATTTATATATCACGTTGCCTCTGGTCTTTTCTCATCAGCCATGTCAGTCATATGGTTTAACACCTATGTGATAGGGAAGCCAAAGGCAAATGCAGGCACTACAATTAGGAGGATTTTGGGGTGTAAGATATTCATACAGATTATCTAAGTAGACTTAGTTTTTTTATTATTATTATTATCCTAAACAGTTTTAAAAATTACCATAGGGGGCACCTGGTTGGCTCAGTTGGTTGGGCAACTGCCTTCAGTTCAGGTGATGATCCTGGAGTCCCAGTATAGATTCCTGCATCAGGCTCCCTGCTCAGTGGGGAGTCTGCTTCTCCCTCTGACCCTCCCCACTTTCATGCTCTCTCTCTCATGCTGTCTCTCTCATTCTCGCTCTCTCAAATAAATAAATAAAATCTTTAAAAATAAGAATTACCGTAGGGATTCATGTACCTCTAACAAATCCCCTAGACTGAGAAACATTACCCTGGTGAGAGTTTTCACAATATTTAAAATCCTCTTTTAAAACTTACCACAGAAACCTCTACCTCTTCTGGTCTTGAGGGAACTCTTGAATTCATAGTCACTTCTCAATGACAGGAGTTTTTTGCTACATTAGAAAATGTAAACGTTTCTACTGATTGATTCTGAGACTGCTGGTGTGGCTATGAGTCTAGGAATATTTGGTCGTTAGGTAAGTAATATCAGAAAACTAAGTCTTATCCTGCCTCAGACAGAATGACAGAGCCATTAGACACAGATGACTCATACTTCCTACCCAAGCAGCTGGACTGCTATACAGGGAATCCTGATGCTTACTCCCCACTGGGCATCACGGATTCCTCTCACTCACTCCTGCAGCCTCGTGGCTATTAGGTATCATCCTGATGTGGTGGAGTGATCTCTGGATGGGAAACGGGAGGCAAGCTAGTTTCTGGTTCCACTGTTGATAAGTTACTTGGTCTGGGAATGGTTTTCAATTCTGCCTACACATCACAATCACTTGGTGGACCACAGCCCCATACCTTCTGACTTAATTTTTTTTTTTTTAAGATTTTATCTATTTATTTGACAGAAAGAGATCACAAGTAGGCAGAGAGGCAGGCAGAGAGAGGGGGCAAAGCAGGCTCCCTGCTGAGCAGAGCCTGATGCGGGGCTCAATCCCAGGACCCTGAAATCGTGACCTGAACGAGGCAGAGGCTTAACCCAGGTGCCCTGACTTAATATTCTTAATTGAAGACCAGGTGGTAAATTTTAAAAAGCTTTCCAGGTAATTGTAATAGGCAGCCTGGAGTAAGAATCCCCGATCTAGAGCAAGTCACTTAACCTTTCTGATCCTCATTTTTCCTACATATAAAATAAGTAGTAGTGCTAATTGTCTCTAAAGACCCTTCCAGTGTGGAGATTCTAGGACTTGCATAGCCATGTGTGATTTATAAAGCCTTTTACATATATTTTTTCACAACCTCATGAAGTAAGAAAGTCGACTATTTATCTATGGATGTAAAACCAGAGTTACAGGAGATTAGGTGGTTTGATTAGCCTCAAGGCCAGTAAAGTGCCAGAACCAGGACTAGAACCTGGTCTTATGGTTCCTTAGTTATTATTATTATTTTTTAAATATCCACATATAAGTGGACCCCTGTAGTTCAAACCCATGTTGTTCAAGTGTCATCTGTACATAATGTATGATATTTATGTGAAATTCACCTGTAGTGATAAAAATCACATGGATTATGTAGGTCCAGGAGGTGGGGGAAACTAGCTGGGAAAAGATACTAGGGAATTTGGGGCTAGGGATGGAAATATTCTATATATCATGTGGGTAGTGGTTACCACAATGTGGATAGTGTTTTTTTCTTAATTCATCAAATTCTACATTTAAAAGAATGCATTTTATGTATACATTATATCTCAGTAAAATTAAAATGTATGTTTAGAGTTTAAAATAAAATAAAATAAAATAATCATTATTTTTAATAATAAATTATTTTTAATAAAAAACATTATTTTCTACATTTACAACAATGACACAAGGGAAGCTACATTCCTTTCATTGGAAACAGGTTGCCCTGAACTCCTAAGAGCACATACAGTATTACCTAGCTGTCTTTATGAATTTATGCCAAGTCTCATTCTTCTGCAGCAAAAATTGTCTACTTCCACAGGAAAAAAAAATGCCTTTTTGTGATACAGTTGTGGTATGAAAATAAGAATGGCAATGACAGTTTATTTTTGTGAATGCTCAGGACTGGATTTTGCAAATGACAAACAGACTGCCTTTTTGGGCAGTGACTGAACGAGCATTAACAGCTGTCTTGTGCAAACATACGTCCCATTCAAATGACTCACTCTCTGAATTTCCACCCTTATAAATTCACTACTTTGGATTTAGTATTAACTTTTCTGTATGGTTACCTGTCACCCTACACACTTTGTAAAACAATTCCTCCTACCCCCATGATTAGGAATATCAAAATACCGAAGGTTGAGGTAGGAGTATAGAAAGTGATGGAAATTACTGGGGCACCTGGGTGGCTCAGTTAGTTATATGTCCGACTCTTGATTTGGGCTCAGATCTTGAATTCAGGATGCCAGGATCAAGCCCACAATCAGGCTTCCTGCTTAGTGGGGAGTCTGTACGTCTCCCTCTCCCTCTGCCCCTCCTCCCACTCGTGCGCTTTCTCGCTAAAATCAATCAATCAATCTTTTTTTAAAAAGTGATGAAAATTGTTGATCTCGACAGCCAGCCATCCTCATTGGTCAACTAATCATCCCCAGGGTATCTTAACTTACACTTCCTATGAGCCCAGCTTCTATTCAGGAGACGTGGATGTATAGGATCACACCACACCACAAAAAAGGAGATGGGTGGCCTTTTTTGTTTTTTTGGTTTTTTTGTTTTAGTTTAAATTCAGTTAATAAACATATAATGTATTATTAGTTTCAGGGGTTCATCAGTCTTATATAATACCCAGTGCTCATTACATCACATGCCCTCCTTAATGTCCATCACCCTGTTACCCCATCTCCCCACCCTCCTCCCCTCCAGTAACCCTGTTTCCTATGACTAAGAGTCTCTTATGGTTTGTCTCCCTCTGATTTTATCTTATTCATTTTTTCCTCTCTTCCCCTATATTCATCAGTTTTGTTTTTTAAATTCTCTATATTAGTGACATCATATGATATTTGTCTTTTTCTGATTGACTTATTTCGCTTAGCAGAATATCTTCTAGTTCCATCCATGTTGTTGCAAATGGCAAGATTTCATTTTTGATGGCTGCATAATATTCCATTGTAGATCTGTATACCACATCTTCTTTATCCGTTCATCTGTCAGTGGACATCTGGTCTCTTTCCATAGTTTGGCTATTGTGGACATTGCTGCTATAAACATTGGGGTGTAGGTGTCCCTTTGGATTTGTATCTTTGGGGTGAATCCCTAGTAGTGCAGTTGCCGGGTTATAGAGTAGTTCCATTTTTAACTTTTTGAGGAATCTCTATACTGTTTCCAAAATGGCTGCTTTTCATTCCCACCAATAGTGTAAGAGGAATCCTGTTTCTCTGCATCCTCACCAACATCTGTCATTTCTTGACTTGTTAATTTTAGCCATTCTGATGAGTACAAGGTGGTATCTCATTGTGGTTTTGATTTGTATTTCCCTGATGCCAAGTGATGTTGAGCATTTTTTCATGTATCTGTTGGGCATTTGTAAGTCTTCTTTGGAGAAATGTCTGTTCACGTCTTCTTTCCATTTCTTGATTGGATTATTTGTTCTTTGGGTGTTGAGTTTGATAAGTGCTTTATAGATCTTAGATACTAGCCCTTTATCTGATAAGACATTTGCAGATATCTTCTCCCATTCTGTCATTGTCTTTTGGTTTTGTCAACTGTTTCCCTTGCTGTGAAAAAGCTTTTTATTTTGATGAAGTCCCAGTAGTTCATTTTTACCCTTGTTTCCCGTGCCTTTCACCATGTTTCTAGGAAGAAGTTGCTAGGGCTGAGGTCAAAGAGGTTGCTGCCTGTGTTTTCCTCTAGGATTTTGATAGATTTCTGTCTCACATTTAGGTCTTTCATCCATTTTGCGTCTATTTTTGTGTGTGGTGTAAGAAAACGGTCAGGTTTCATTCTTCTGCATGTGACTGTCCTATTTTCCCAACACTACTTAATGAAGAGACTGTCTTTTTTCCGTTGGATATTCTTTCCTGCTTTATCGAAGATTAGTTGATCATAGAGTTGATGGTCCATTTCTGGATTCTCTATTCTGTTCCATGTATCTGTGTGTCTGTTTTTGTGCCAGTAGCATACTGTCTTGATGATTACAGCTTTGTAATACAGCTTGAAGTCCACAATGACTCCACCACCTTTGGTTTTCTTTTTCAACATTCCTCTAGCTATTCAGGGTCTTTTCTGGTTCCATACAAATTTTAGGACTGTTTTTTCCCACTCTGTGAAAAATGTTGATGGTATTTTCATAAGGATTGCATTTGTCTAGGTAGCATAGACGTTTTTACAATATTTGTTTTTCCATGAGCATGGAACATTTTCCATTTCTTTGTGTCTTTCTCAATTTCTTTCATGAGTGTTTTATGGTTTTGAGAGTATAGATGCATTTCCTCTTTGGTTAGATTTATTCCTCGGTATCTTATAGCTTTTCGGGCAATTGTAAGTGGGATCAATTCCTTAATTTATTTTTCTCTCTCATTGTTAATATATAGAAATGCAACTGATTTGCTGAATTCCTGCATGAGTTCTAGCAATTTGGGGGTGGAGTCTTTTGGGTTTTCCACATAAAATATCATGTCATCTGTGAAGAGTGAGTTTGATTTCTTTGCTGATTAGGATGCCTTTTATTTCTTTTTTGTTGTCTGGATTGCTGAGGCTACGACTTCTAGTACTATGTTGAACAGCAGTCATGATACTGGACATCCCTGCCATGTTCCTGACCTTAGGAGAAAAGTTCTGTTTTTCCGTGCTGAGAATGATAGTCACTGGGGGCTTCTATGATACCTATCTCTATACCTACACCGTGAAGAGTTTTAATTAAAAAAGGATGCCATACTTTGTCAAATGCTTTTTCTGCATCTGTTGAGAGGATCATGTGGTTCTTGTCCTTTCTTTCATTAATGTAGTATATCACATTGAGATGTGGGCCCTTTTAAAATACAAATATCCAAGACGAAAGGCATACTGCCCTTCTTTTGCCTGGAGCTGCATGGAGTACCCACAGGAAGAAGAGAAGGGGGGACTTTAGGATGAGGATTGGGAGGAGGTAGGTGGTATGAAGATGAACTTTGCTTCCATCATCATTTTCCCAGGATCAGCTTTTTCATGGCAGTTACTACATTTTGATACTACCTTCTCAAATATTTGAGAATTATTTTACTTTTTAGCCAAAATGCGTTTTTGTGTTACAGTGAACCTATAGAAAGAAAACCGACAGTTTTCTTTTGCTTGTTTGCCTTCCTCCATCCCTCCCCCCACCACCTCCTGAGATCAAAAACAATTATCCTTTCCTCTTTCTTCTTCTTGGGGTAGTGCAAATTTATTAAGAACTTGCTTCATGGGGCACCTGGGTGGCTCAGTGGGTTAAGCTTCTGCTTGGGATCAAGCCCTGCACCGGGCTCTCTGCTCAGCAGGGAGCCTGCTTCCCCCACCACCACCGCTGCCTGCCTCTCTGCCTACTTGTGATTTCTCTCTCTGTCAAATAAATAAATAAAATCTTTAAAAAAAAAAAAAAAAGAACTTGCTTCATAAAACTTGAAATGGAATTAAAACAGTCATTTGGTCATCCATGAACAAATTCCATTAGTACCAACAAATAGTTTTCCTGAAGACATAGATAAAATGGACTGATATTTTCAAATTTTCAAATGGAGCTCTAGCAGGGAAAAAGTTCTTGGACACCTCTTTAATTCTTAAAGGCGGGTTGTATTTTACATTTTTTCCTGATGCATGTTAGAATGTAAGATATAGAGAAACATTTGTTACTGCAATTAATGACAATTGAGATTAAACTTTATTTCTTCAGAGACCTTACCAAATAAAGTCAATTAATAATTTCACTTGGCCAATTAACTCCATTTCCAGGATAGTGGCTAACTGAATCATCCTTCCACCCCAGCTCAGACACACACTCTCACACACACACACACACACACACACACGTGCACACACACATGCATTTATGCCATTTCTTCCCTAAGTATGGTATTAGGGAGTCAGCATAAACTGATTTCTGAGGATAATAGACCTTCTGCCTAAGAGCTTCCAGGAGAGAATTAGTGGCCTTAGGATAAAGCCCTTCCTGCAGTTCCACCTTTTAGAAAAGTAAGAATACAACAACCTACAGATAGCCTTACAGAATATACCTTGCCCTAATTCCAGCTTTATTACTGTTCTCATCTGGGGGAAGGTGGTATCCCATCACCCATCCCAAAATGGATTTTGAGTGGTGAAGTTGTCAAGATTGCTGGCAGCTATGCCGTCTAAGACCCTAAGAACCTCGCCTCCAGCTCTTCCTACATGCCTCTGAGAGAAGGCATATGAGCTAGATTTTCATTCAAGATTTAGTTGAGGAGTCAAAGTTTCAGTTATATGCAAATGTGATGACTGTTTGCTCTTATGCTTTAGCCAACTAGAGCACAGACACTATTATGAAATGGACAGTTTCCAGGAGTGACCTAGTGCCTGTTCATCTTAAGATGTATATATTATTATCCTTGTTGAATAAATCACTCCCACCTTGTGGGAACTAGGTACTTAACTCGGTAGATTTTTCTTAAAGCTGTGTTCATTTGATGTCTCAATTACCCCAGTGGTGTATTTAAGATCTGTATAGACTCATGACCTCTAAGGCTACTAAGGTATAGTTTTACTACTTTATATTACCTAGTATTAACGGATAAAAATATACTTTAAATCTGAAATGTTGGTGAGAACATACTGAACCTGCACATTGATGGGTATAGAAGGTGTTTTGGTTATTGTCAGGGCACAACATGAACAAAACCCATTGTTTCTAATTGTTAGTTGTTTGGAGAGCTGACCAATGGCATTCAGAGACCTCATCTCTCCTTCCAAGGCAAATGGTGATGGGTTAGCACACTGGGTAGACTGAGAGGTTCCATTTCCATTACAAAGTTCCTTTAGTTATGGGATTGAGCCCAGAGGGGGCCTAAACCTTCCAGATCCCTTTTTCTTCCTGTCTGCCCCATTCTGGTAAATAACGGGCAATTATTGAGCACTCAGAATGTGCTAGACAGTATGCCAAATGCTTTTCATATATTATTTATTCTCATCCTCACAACAACCTAATAAGCTGGAGGTACTTGTTTTACAAATGTACAAATTGAGGTTAAACAATTTAAGATTCTTGCTTAAGAGCTGGAATTTCAGAGGGTTTTCCCCCTGCAATTGTCAGGCACTATGTGAAGTGCCAAGAGTATAAAAATAATTATGACACAGACCTTGTCTTCAAGGAGCTTATGTTAATGGAAACAGACATATTAACACATAATTTCACTTTAGTAGGATAAGTGCCTTGACAAATATGAGCATAGAAGTGATAGGGGCCTAGAGGAAGGGACTGATTATTGGAGTTTGGAAGTTCTAAGAAAGCATCCAGGAGGAAGGGAAGTTTGAGTGGACACTGGACAGTTTAACTACAGTGAACCTAGCTTCTGGGTATATTATCAGACTGCCCTAGAACTAGGAGTAGAGAACCCAAAGACGGCAACCAGAGGGCAAGTGTTTGCCAGTCAGCCTCAGCCAGCGTGTTTGTGTGTGGGTATTCCTAAGATCTGATATTTGGGGTGATAAACAATAGTTAATAAGTTCACAAACAAACCAGAAAAAACCAAAAAATTTGAATGCACAGGCCTGAAATATTATTTATCAGTTAAGTGTCTGAGTTCTTGAAAAGTACTATTTTATGGCTTGATTTTATTAGTACAACATTAATTTTTTAATGTTATAAAGTAGTGATGCTGGATTAATGGTTGTTTAACAAGTGAATGGATGAGAGAATTAATGATAAACAACAGGGGTCAACAAATATTTTCACTAAAGGGCCAAATAATAAAATCTCAGGCTCCATGGGCTTATGGTCTGTTGTGAATATTCAGTCGTGTTATAGCACAAAAGCATCCATTGATATTAAGTAAATGAATGGGTATCTTTGGTCCTAATAAAATTTAAAAAAAAGAAAAGGTGGCAGGCCGGATTTGACTGAAGGTAAAACTTGTAAGAGACAGATGTATTTGCTTCTTTCAAAATGTAGAATTTTAAAATTCTGTGCTTAATTATGTGCAGGTGACATATCTGGGGAAGGAGCTTTTAAAGTATGTTTCTGAGGAAGTGCCCATACCTGCAGAGCCAGTCGTGGTGCCTCAACAACATCAGTCTTCCCTTCCAGGTACGTGCAGACCTACAGCCATTTCTTAGTCATGAAAAAGGCACCCAAAGGTACGGAGACAGCACTGCTTTTTTTGTATAACATGAAAATAACTGTCTTAATGTGAACAATTCAATAGCATTTTGTTGTTGTTGTTATTTAAATTCTAGCTAGTTGACATAGAGTTCAGTATGGTTCGGGAACAGAGTTCAGTGGTTCATCACTTGTGTACAACACCCAGTGCTCATCATAACTTGTAACTTGTGCCCTCCGTAATGCCCATCACCCATCTAGCTAGCGCATCCGCCACCCACTTCCCTCCAGCAACCATCAGTTTGTTCTCTATAGTTAAGAGTCTCTCATGATTTGTTTCTCTCACTCTTTCTCCTCCTCCTGAATGTTCGTTTTGTTTCTAAAATTCCACATGAGTGAAATCTTTTCTCACTGACTTGTTTTGCTTAACATAATATTTAGTACATTCACAATGTTGTGCAACCACCACCTTTGAGTAGTTCTAAAACAACTTCCGTTACCCAAATAGAAACTCCACATGCATTCAACAATCCCCCTTTCTGTATGCCTCCCAATCTACTTTCTGTCTTTATGAATTTGCCTGTTCTGAATGTATCATATAAGTGGAATCATATAACTTCCTGTGTCTGGCATCTTTCACTTAGCATAATGCTTTCAAGGGTCCTGCCTGGATGGATGTTCAGTTTCTACTTTTTAGCTGTTGGGTATAGTGCTGCCGTGAGCACACATATACATGTATTTGTACCTATTTTTAGTTCTTTTGGATAGATACATAGGAGTGGAGTTGCTATATCATATAGTATTATATGTTGAACTTTTTGAGGAACATCCAAAATGTTTTCCACAGCAACTGAATCATTTTACATCGTATCAACAATATACAAGGGCTCCAATTTCCCCATATCCTCACCAACACTTGGCATTTTCTGTTTGTTTACAACACTGCATTTTTAACCACAGTTGATTGTAGAATTTTTTAAATGACACCTTCCCTCACAGTTCCTTTCTCTGAACCTATGCTTACTTTGGGTAGATTTTTTAAAGTATCATACAGAAAGGAAAAATGGCATTTTTTTCCCCTCCTGCAGGCATGATTTGGTGAGTTTTCTAAAAGCAAGTACTAAAATAAATCTTTGCTTATTAGTGTAAACTAATGTGCTTTATCTGATGGAATAGACTTTAACCTGAGAAAACTGAAGAGAATGTAGTCTTCACCAATAGCAGCGGATTTTGAAACGATCTGGAGAGGCAGCATACATTTCTGTAAAACAGACATAACTAAGGTTGTGTTACCCTTCTCTGCTGCAGCATCCCCTCTTTTTCCACTAGTGTCCCTGCCTCAGACCAGCTGGGGACAGTATAGTCAGAAAGGAGATACAATACAGGAGACGATAGTTCTGTGGTAACAAGAGTCAAGAACCAAACAGAGATTACTATCACTAAGCCCCTAACCAGGGGCTCCCCAGGGCCATTCTTTCCTAACAAACCTTAATAATTCACTATTTCCCTCTCTAACTTTATACCTGATCCACTGTAACCTCTTAGGGTCCTTCTTTGTTCTCAAAAACTGGCTCCAGAATAGGAAGCATTTTCCCCAGTAGTCTGAAGATAGCCTCAAAAGTGCTTTTCATCACTTTCGGAAAACCAGTCAGGTAAAACAGAAATTATGAAGAAGTTAAAGGGTTTAAATTGGACAGAGTTCTTGTAGTAATTTCTGGTCTTTGGTTCCTAACTCTCACTGCAGCTCTACCTAATCAAAACTTGGCATGGGGCCCAGGAACCTGAACTTTTTAAAATGATTCTTATGCAGCATGACTATAGACTCTGAATGACTAGTAAGTAGTATCTGATTTCTTACGCAGATTATAATTTGAAAACTCTTATATTCAGCCCTTCAGCTCGATCGCACACCACACCCACTCTCATGCTTGCATGCATTGCCTGCCTCCCTCCCTCAACCTCTCGCTCTCTCTGTCTCTCTATCACACACATACACACACACACACACACACACACACACACAAGAAAGCCAAGCAAAACCTTCATCCTCCTAGTTTCTAACCCCAAGAGTCAGAACAGAAATACAGGATCTTCCTTGTATCACAAAGGTTATCTCCTCAGATTTTCCAGTTCTGAGCAGGCATTTTCAACCCTAGCCATGCTTCTCCTTCCTCAAGAGGGCTCACAGTGCCCCTGCTAAGTGAGCATGAAATTAAAAAAATGGGTTCTGAATGGCTGCTTCTGTTTCCTGCAATATAAACAAGTCTCTTGTTACTAATTTCTTTCAGAAATACTGTATTTTCTTTCCTTTAGCTATATCAGAAAATGTTAATGAACTCTATGGAGGGCCCATAGGCCAGCCAGTTTCTTGTTGCCTTAATCTGGGCCTAAGAATCTGCGAGTCTCTATTGGCATTACTTTTCTCTTTTTCTTTCTTTTTTTTTTTTTTAAGATTTTATTTGTTTATTTTATTAGAGAGGGAGCATGAGCAGGGAGAGGGGGAGAGGGAGAGAATCTCAGGCAGAATTCCCGCTGAGCACAGAGATCCATCCCAGGACCATGAGATCATGACCTGAATCGAAACCAAAAGCTGGACGCTTAACCTGAGTCACTCAGGGGCCCTCTACCTGCTGGCATTCTGTAGGGTGCTGTTGGAGTTTTACTTGAACCTATTTGATTTAAGGTTCTTTTGTATGTGGCTTTGTAGTACCTGACAGAAATCCAAAGACCCGGCAAGTTCGAAAAATGTAAACTCTTTAACAAGCAAACTATCCAAGAGAGAATGTTTTTCCCTCTTTTGCATATCAAAACGTGGTCAAGGAAATCATGGAACTGACACTTAGAATGCACAGAGTTTAAAGGATAAACAAGGCCATATGGATTTCATCAGCCCACTTCAGATCATGAACATAATCTGTTATTTTACACTTTTTTAAGATTTTATTTATCTACGTGACAGAAAGACAGTATAAGCTGGGGGAGTAGCAAGGAGAAGGCAGAGGCAGAGGGAGAGGGAGAAGCAGGCTTCCCGCTGAGCAAGGACCCTGATATGGGGCTCAATCCCAGGACCCTGACTGAGATCATGACTGGAGCCAAAGGCAGATGCTTAACTGACTGAGCCACTCAGGCACCCCTCTCTTACACTTTTTAATGATCACTCCAAAATAGTGGTTTTTGGGAATACAGGAATGAGGAGGAGCTATTTACATTTTCCAAAGCTAGAGTAACGATGCTTCCCAGCTAAACCACCGCAGTCCTCAATCCAGCCAAATTATTAGTAGCACTCCCCTTCATTTTCAGATGTGCCTTGTTTAGATGACCCAGTACAGGAAGGAAGCAAATAGGTATTGGAAAAAATGAAATTTGGACATGGTAAAAAGAGAGAGAGCAACTCTTCAATTTCATTTACTTTTTTAAAAAGTTTTTAAATTCCAGTTAGTTAACATACAGTGTAATACTAGTTTCAGGTATCGAATTCAGTGATTGATCATTTCTGTACATCACTCTGTGTTTATCATGACAAGTGCACTCCTTCATCCCCATCATCTATTTAACCCATCCCCTACCCCTCTCCTCTCTGGTAAACATCAGTTTGTTCCCTCTAAGAACTATATAGATAGTTCTTACATACTGTTGTCTAAATAGGCAAATCTTATGCATATCACTTTATATTATAAATAATTGCTGGTTACCTAATGTTCACCGCCTGACAGAGAAGGTCTTTGAGTTTAGAGTGACTTTTCTAAACTCTTAGTCCCTATTATATTCCCCCAAAGACTGGCAAAGTAGCTTCCCAGTAAACGTTTATTAAATAATGTTTATTCATCGCATAAATAATGAATGGATGGAAGCATGAATACGATCCTAAGGAGAGCTAATTTAAAACTGGATTTACATGTGATTGACTGTCCTCATAAGTAGACAGGCCTAGATCTCACAGGCTATAATGAATGGAGTTTGTTGTGAAGAATTCAACAAATAGTAAATGGGATTTTGGTTAGTTAATATTATCTCCTTTATTTGATCTTTCTGCTTCTGACTGTGAGATATAAGAGTTATGGCCCTTCACATTTTCTGAACCAATTATTTTTAAAACAGCTATATCCCTCTATCTCCCCGCACTTCCTCCTCCCCCTCTTTATGAGAAATCATTAATCTGTTTAGCTTTTGTAACCATTTCCTAAACTTTGATCAAATGGTATCAACACTTCATGGGACAAATAGCAAACTCAATATCCAGTTGATTTCTACATACCATTTTGGAATTCTAGTATCAAGAAAATCCTGAGTCATGAAGACAAGTGATAAAAGTTTTTAATCTTGCCATTTTCAAGACTTTCCTCAATGAATCAGAGATGATGGAAGAACTTTATTCCTAGTCCTGCACAGAAACTAGTTAAACTGGTAACCCAGATTAGTGTGTTGGTGGACTCTAGAGTGTTACAATATGGTATATTAATACATTTGAAGGCATATATTATTTCTAACTAAAGATTTTTTTTTTAAAGATTTTATTTATTTATTTGACAGAGAGAGATCACAAGTAGACAGAGAGGCAGGCAGAGAGAGAGAGAGAGAGAGAAGGAAGCAGGCCCCCTGCTGAGCAGAGAGCCTGATGCGGGACTCGATCCCAGGACCCTGAGATCATGACCTGAGCCGAAGGCAGCGGCTCAACCCACTGAGCCACCCAGGCGCCCCCTAACTAAAGATTTTTAAAAATACAAACACCAGCCTTTAAAAAATGAAATTCTGTTGATGAAATCCTGAAGTACCTCTCCCTAAAGTCCTTAGAGGCTGTAAAATAGAGTGAATCTATGGTGCATTTTCCCTTGAAATTTCACAGTTCCTCTCAAGCCTCTCTTCTCTCTGCCTAACAGGCTGTAGTTTCTCTTCTGTGTTTTTGAGGGAATCTTCATTGATATTCCAGAATAAACTGGAGGGGAAAAAATGAACATTCCCAAACTTCTACATAATTTGTGATCACTGTGTACAGACATATCAACCTTTCCCACAGTTCTTTAAAAAGAATCTGTTAAGGTAGATGACATTTCATTATTTACCTGAAAAGTCAGTCTTATATATATCTATGTCACCTGTCACCACAGTATTAGGACAGTCAAAGCACATTATGCCAAATGTATTCATCTAAGAAAAAAAAATTATCTCCTGAAATCTTTATTTTCCCAAGCCATCATTTACTGCATATTAATTTACTGCATAATTAATTAATGTCAGTTTCTTTTGAGGGGACCTAGCATTATTTCTTCATTTGAAAATAGAACAAGCTTTTTCAGAAAAAATAGACTCTTTTTTGTTTCTAATAAAAGCTGTCCTTAACCTACCAATAATATGTTAGAGGAAGAGTTTTCTTCATTTCGGTGAAGTTTTCTTCATTTCGGTGCTGTTGCTGTGCGTCATCGCTGGTAGAAGTATGTGTAATCGAGCACACACACTCACAGGTGCTTCTGTTTTATGTGGTTAAGAATTTCTTCAAACTTAAACACGTAAGGAAGATGAGTGCCTGATAACAGAGCAGAAGGTTTTTATTTCAGCTCCTGTTTACGATTCGTGTTGTTTTTCATTCCTTTTCTTTTAAATTTTTAAAAAATGTTGTATTTATTTATTTGACAGAGATCACAAGTAGGTGAGATCCAGGCAGAGAGAGAGGGGAAGCAGGCTCCCTGCTGAGCAGAGAGCCTGATACGGAGCTTGATCCCAGGACCCCGAGACCATGACCTGAGCCGAAGGCAGAGACTTAACCCACTGAGCCACCCAGGCTCCCTGTTTTTCATTACTTTAATCATTATTATTTTTCATCATAGTATCATGATTAACTTTGACCTAATTCATAAAATGGACGATACATCTACTAATAGAGGAGAAAAGAGAAGAAAACTAATTTTCTGTTGAGCACCTGCCATGTGCCAGGCCCCCTGCCAGATCACTGTGTATACATTAAGCCATCGAGGAGCTTCTAACTAGTAAAACTCCAGAGTTCATGTCTGTGCAACAAAGGCAGAAAAAACATGAACACTTTACATATAAAAAATTTTTTTTAAGATTTTGTAATTCATGAGTGGCAAAGGGAGAAGCAGGCTCCTCACTGAGCAGGGAGCCTGATGTGGGGCTCAATCCCAGTACCCTGAGATCGTGACCTGAGCCCAAGGCAGATACTTAACTGACTGAGCCACCCAGGTGTCCAGTCTCATTCCATTTTCTATGTCCAAGATAAAACTATAAATCGGCATCAGCTTATCTTGAGAAAAAGGCTGTTTGTAGTCTAAAACACCACAGCAGGAAAAGGATGACTGAGGCTTCTGAAGGTAGTTGTACAAATTCCTCTGTGCCTCAATTTCCAATAAACCAAGAAGAAAAGAGTTGTGAAGATTAGATGGGAAGTTGCTGTGAAATGACTGGCTACTGGTTAACATATAGCAAACATTCAATAAATATAAGCTGCTATTATTATTATTTCTTACTGAAAATAGTATTAGGATGGAAGATGGATAATCAGTTTTCTAGGCCATACAAACTTGTGTGATCTCAAGCAAGTTATGTGACTTCTCAAGCCCAGTACAGCTAGGAAAATAGCCATATAAGTGAGTGTGGTTCCGCTTGCTGCTCCTCCTCCCCAACAAGCACTGCACAGCTAAAGAACCATTCTGCTCATGAAAGAAGTAGGGAGAAAGCCATCCTTCTCAAATAATATAACCAAATGTTAGATATTCGGCATAAGTCTCCTTGAAGTGAACTGCGAGATTCATCACTAGGCAAAAGAATAGGCTCATGCAACTATTCATGTTATCTAGTTGCCTAAATTAGCACTTCAAAATGACAAGCTAACTAGTTAGGTTAAAAATAATTTTAGCTTTCACTTTTCTTTTTCCTCTAGTTTTTTAAAAAATTTCCCTTAATAGATCAAAAGCAAAAATAATCAGGTTCATTATATTAACTGATATTTCACTTCTGAAATATCACTAACCTATGAATTCTTTTCATTCAACCCATTTTACCTCTCTGGCTCTGTTTCATCATCTGTAAAACAGGTCCAAGACCAAGATGATATATAAATTCACTTCTAACACCAAAGTTCTACTTATTTTCTCTCTGACAAATAAAAAAATTAAGTCTAGGGTGCCTGGGTGGCTCAGTGGGTTAAGCTTCTGCCTTCGGCTCAGGTCATGATTTCAGGGTCCTGGGATCAAGGCCCGCATGGGGCTCTTTGCTCAGTGGGGAGCCTGCTTCCCTCTCTCTCTCTGCCTGCCTCTCTGCCTACTTGTGATCTCTTGCTCTGTCAAATAAATAAAATCCTTTTCTAAAAAATTAAGTCTATTAAAAAAAGAAAAGAAAAATGGAGTAAATTATTACTGGTCCAAAATCTCTGTGTGCTCATAGACTTGACTAGGGTCTAGGATTTGTAATAAGTAAATTTAAATATTATTTTATAAAGACAGTTTTTAATTTGTTGGCACTTCTTTAAACAGGAACTTCCAGAGAGTCAATGCAAAGCATTCCACATTATCTACAAATAAATGAAGTACTCTTAATCAGCGATCAAGAATTTCTCCCATGCCATATAATGGATCAGCATTGGAAGTTCTATGTGGAATGTGAAGAGCTAACATTCTAAAGACTTGTTTTCGTAATAACTTATTAGACATTTGTTCATTAACCCACATTCATATTTTATGGGCTGGAGGGCCTATTTTAACACACCCTTCATGAGTTGCTATTTAAAATGTGTGTTTACCATTGTAAGAAAAGATATAACTTGAACTATTATAGTACAATTAATACCTTTTTGCTATTGAAATAAAGGCATTTTTTAATTAAACCATATTGATTCTCTGGCTTTGATTTTACGAACATAAATGTAAATCTAATCTTTCAGTCAACACCTCTACCTTTGTATAAATAACAGTTGTTCCTTAAGGGAAGTAAGGATAAAAAAAGAGTGATAATTGGTCCGTAAAAGGCCCAAATAAAGTGAATCTATTTAAAATAAGAATTTGATGTCCAAATAACCAAAATGTAAAATTATAAAAAAGGTTTATTTTAAATTCCATAAAATTTAGCATAAATAAACCTGTAACTGTGATAAGTCATAGAACAAAAATGAATCAAATGTTGATTTGGGGACTGATTATTTTAAATAGGATACTTCACCTTTGACTTTTGGTACATTATCATCACGAAGATTCTCTTTTTTTTTTTAAGAAAGATATTTTTTGTAAAAGAAACTTGGTAAGTTTTCTTAAGGGTCTGTTTTCCTCCTTTGGTTGCCATCTTTTTCTTCACTTGTCACCATCTCAGGCACCCAGAGAAAACTGTTTAACTTCATGGCTTGAGTCCATCCTTTCTTTCTCATTTCGGTAGAGAAGTTAAGCTGCGATAAAAGTAACTCACAAGTGCTAGACTTTGGGATAAGATATATTATTGTTAATTTTTTATTTTTTCAGTGTTCCAAGATACTTTATATACCACACCCAGTGCTCCATGCAATATGTGCCCTACTTAATATTCACCACTAGGATCACCCATCCCCTCTCCCCCTCCCCCCTAAAACCCTCAGTTTGTTTCTCAAAGTCCCCAGTCTCTCATGTTTCATTTTCCTCTCCAATTTCCCCATTTCACTTTTCCTTTCTTTCTCCTAATGTCCTCCATGTTATTCCTTATGTTCCACAAGTAAGTGAAACAATATATTAATTGACTTTGCTGCACTTACTTCACTCAGCATAATCTCCTGGCACAAAAACAGACACAAAGACCAATGGAACAGAGTAGAAAGCCCAGATATGGACCCTCAACTCTATGGTCAGCTAATCTTGGACAAAGCAGGAAGGAATATCCAGTGGAAAAAAGACAGTCTCTTCAATAAATGGTGCTGGGAAAATTGGACAACTACATACAGAAGAATGAAACTCAACCATTCGCTTACACCATACACAAAGATAAACTCTCAATGGGTGAAAGACCTCAACGTGATACAGGAATCCATTAAAATCCTGGAGGAGAACATAGGTAGTAAGCTCTTTGACACTGGCCACCACAACTTCTTTCAAGACACATCTCCAAAGGCAAAGGAAACAAAAGCGAAAATGAACTTTTGGGACTTCAAGATAAAAAGCCTCTGCACAGCAAAGGAAGCAGTCAACAAAACAAAGAGGCAACCTACAGAATGGGAGAAGATATTTGCAAGTGTGGCAAAGATTAACAAGACAGTAAACAACAAATGTTGGACAGGATGTGGAGAAAGGGGAACCCTCTTACACTGTTGGTGGGAATGCAAGTTGGTGCAGCCACTTTGGAAAACTGTAGAGATTTCTCACAAAATTAAAAATAGAGATACCCTATGACCCTGCAATTGCAGTACTGGGTATTTACCCCCAAAGATACAAATGTAGTGAAAAGAAGGGCCATCTGTACCCCAATGTTCATAGCAGCAATGGCCACAATCGCCAAACTGTGGAAAGAGCCAAGATGCCCTTCAACAGACGAATGGATAAAGATGTGGTCCATATATACAATGGAATATTACTCAGCCATCAGAAAGGATGAATACCCATTTTTGTATTTTTTATATTAAATATACAGAATCTGAAGTATCTTTGGAATATATAGGGAACTGGTTAACAGTTGCCTGCAGGTAGAAAAATCATGGGGCTAAACAGCTGAGAGGAAAGGGGAACTTTTAACTACATGTGCTCCAAAATTTGGCAAATTTTGAAGTTGATTATATGTGTGTGTTCTTACTGTTAAAAGTTTCAATTATCTGAAAAGAAAACACCTGGAAAGACTTCATATTACTAAAAGTGTAAAGATGTCAGATCATTTTTTATTCTTGTGAGAGTCCACTGAAAATGTTTAGGTTAGAATGCCCCTACAAGTTGTAATATTTGAGAACTGACAAGTTTATTATGCCATCATTTTCTTAGACTCCCCTATTTTTCTAATTCTTGAATAATGTACATGAGGTGGTCTATTTGGCTTTTATTACTTAAGGAGATATTTAAAACATGACTCCTTTGTAAATACATGTACTAGCATGGGAAGTCGTGTATATAAATGAAAAAAATGCACATTGTTAAACAGTGGTTAATCCAAGTCCTGACTGGGGTGCCTAGGTGGCTCACTCAGCTGGTTAAGTGTCTGCCTTGAGCTCAGGTCATGATCCCAGGACCCTGGGATCAAGCCCCACACTTCTCCCTCTCTCCCCTGCTCATGCTTTCTCTCTCTCAAATAAATCTTAAAAAAAAAAAAAAAAAGTAGGAGTCCTGATAGTGTTAAATAAAAAAATGTACCTTTGAATGTGTGTATAATATATATAGTCATGCAAATATGCATGTATTTATATCATGTATGCTATATGTACTTGATGAGTCATGAAATGTGTACTTGTATATATGAACATGTGTGTGGGGTGGGGGTAGAGGTATGTTGAATAAAAGGTCTGGAATGCCACCAAGAAAATGATTTGCCATGTCTGCCCCTAAGGGAGTTGAACTGGGAAGTGTGGAAGGATACTTCTGTGGTGTACTTTCCAACTTAAGAAAACACATGTTTCTTTTGAAACTTGAAAAATATTTTTTAAAGAATAACTTAAGGTATTTTGCTTAGTTATTACAATTTACAAAAGTCATATACTGTAAGTTTATAGTACAAGAGCTTGAAGATCTGAGTTTTCATGTTAATGATCAAATTCTTAAATTTCCTAAGCCCATTAAAAAATGTATACACTAACTGGTAAGTAACAAAATACCCATTAAAAAATGTATACACTGGGGCGCCTGGGTGGCTCAGTGGGTTGAAGCCTCTGCCTTTGGCTCAGGTCATGATCTCAGGGTCCTGGAATCGAACCCCGCATTGGGCTCTCTGCTCGGCGGGGAGCCTGCTTCCTCCTCTCTCTCTGCCTGCCTCTCTGCCTGCTTGTGATCTCTGTCTGTCAAGTGGATAAATAAAATCTTAAAAAAAAAAAAATGTATACACTAACTGGTAAGTAACAAAACCGGTAAGTAAGTAACTAACTGGTAAGTAACAAAAATACCCTTGAGGCATGCTGGGTGTTGCCCAAACTAAACAACAAAAGGGTCTACTCCAACCAGGGCTGGAGTCCAGAGAGCTATGTCACACCCTATCATCCCTGAAAGAAGACAACATTTTGGGTGTTTGCTAGATGTCTTGTCTTTTCTGGGTTGAAACCCTCAAACTTCTGGCCATAAGCCATATAAGGGACCGCCAATAATAGCTAATAATCCAATCTCCTACCTGATACTTGTATCCTTTCTATAACATTAACTTGAACACCCCTGGATATTCCATACCCAACAAGGAAGCCTATTCCCTTTCAGACAGGTATTCCTAAGTGTTAGAAAGGTGGAACCACAATGTCCCAGGCTTCACAATCCTATTAGGATAAAAATACTTCTGTTGGGGCGCCTGGGTGGCTCAGTGGGTTAAGCCTCTGCCTTCAGCTCAGGTCATGATCCCAGTGTCCTGGGATCGAGCCCCACATCGGGCTCTCTGCTCAGCGGCGAGCCTACTTCCCTTCCTTTCTCTGCCTGCCTCTGCCTACTTGTGATCTCTGTCAAATAAATAAATAAAAAATCTTAAAAAAATAAAAAAAAATTAAAAAATACTCCTGTTTGTTAGGTCCGTTATTAAACGAAACGAGACTGAGACAAAGTAAAAGTTATTTAAAGCTTTATTTTATGCCAAGTATTAGAAATCAGACTGATCGGCCAGGGGAACGAGACTAAAACAAAGTTATGCAAAGCTCTATTCCATGCCAAGCATTAGAAGTCAGACTGACCGTCCAGGGCCGTCTCTGAAGACAGAGACCACCCCAACTTACAGGCTCAAGAATCAACTGACTGACCGGTCAGGGCCCCCTCCGAAGAGGGCGACCCCTCCCACTCTTACAGGCTACCTTTTTTTTTTTTTTTTAAGATTTTATTTATTTATTGACAGACAGAATCACAAGTAGGCAGAGAGGCAGGCAGAGAGAGAGGAAGGGAAGCAGGCTCCCTGCTGAGCAGAGAGCCAGACTCGAGGCTTGATCCCAGGACTCTGGGATCATGACCTGAGCCGAAGGCAGAAGCTGAGCCCCAGGCACCCCTACAGGCTACCTTTTATTGGGTGAAACTGCTACCCATATCTTGGTATCTCAACCCACTGGGTTTGTGTGTCTCTTGTTGATTGGCTAGTTTCATCTGGTCTGGTGACCTGTTATTCAAGATTACTCCATACCAGGAACCGTTACAAACAGTACTTTTTGGGAAGGCTTAGTCAGTTAACATATTCAGCGTGAATAAGATCGACGTCCTTCCCAAGATGGAGTCATTTAGGTTTGGGCAAGACCTTCTCACTGTTACAAACAGTACTTCATACTGATTAGATGTTTCTGTCTGGCCTGACTCGTCCTTGTATTCTGGGCTCTATTATCAGGAACTAGCCGACTACATTTTACTGGTTTCCCAGACTTGTTTCTAAGTAAGTTTCTCTGGGTGGGGCGGGGGGGAGTCAGTTTAAGTTTACTGCACAAACAACAAAATGGCTATTTACCCAAGATGGAGTCACTCTGGCTAAATAGGTCCTTACACTGTTCATGAGTTGAATTATTATGGCACAGACTTCCACTGGCCTCATTGCTGAGAATGGCCAACCACACATCGTGTCCTTTTCTCCTCAATTTCTCTTTCATTTGTTTCCTTTCAACTTACCTCCCCGAGTTCAGTCATTTGTCAATGTGTACCTAGACTATATGCAACCGGAATTTTGCCCCATTTCAACCCAGTTCTTTACTTTATAAAACC